TTATGTGTAAATATTAAATTTTGTCAAATTAGTACTAAATATATATATCTTATGTCTCAAAGCAACTAAAATTTCAAAATAAAATTAACTAAACAAAACTAAACTTAATAATTGGAATTGTGCGACTGATTCGAACGGTTCCAATGAATCGAATGGTACAAATGATTCGATTGGTTCGAATGATTCGAACGGTTCAAATGATTTAAATGGTTAAAATGATTTGAACAGCTAGATTATTTTGAATTTTTCGAATGGTTCAAATAATCCGAATGATTCAAATAGTTGGAATTGTTTGAATAATTTAATTAATTAGAAAAGTTCGAATGGTTCAAATGATTCGAGTGGTTCAAATGACTTAAATGGTTCGAATAATTCGAATAGTTAAAATACTTGGTACAGCTCGAATGGTTAGAATAGTTTGAATGAAAAATTCAAGTGATTCAAACAGTTGGGATGGTTCGAATAGTTTATTTGGTTTGAAAAGATTCGAATGATTTGAATAGTTTGAATGATTCGAATAATTCAAGTGATGGTTCGAATGATTTGAATGTTTCCATTGGTTCGAGGGCTTCAATTGGTTTTACTGATTCGAATGGTTCAAATAGTTCGAATAGTTTGAAAAATTCGAATGAATCAAACAATTGGAATAGTTTCAATAGTTTAATTGGGTGGAAAAGTTAAAATGGTTCGAATGGGATTATGGGGCGAATAGTTTAAATATACAATATATTTAAACTTTGTTTATTAAGAACCAATTATTGGCTGCAGCAACAAAAATAACTTCGACTGTAATTTGTTTGTGCATTTGGCTTATTTTTTAATTAAGATTTAACTTCCTGTATAACACTCCTGTGTTTACAGGAAGACAATTTTGTTTATTGCAATTGTGCTCTAAAGGAAATAATGTCTTATTGGTAAGAACGACTGAGACTATATATATAAATTATTAAGTTTTTAGATGAACGTAACAAAACGTAAAATTTGGTTATTTTATTTAAGAGATAGGTTTAAGGCAAATAACCTATTTAATGATAAAATATCTGAATAGTTATCATATACTGTTTTTATTTATTATTTCTTATAACTTAGACCTTAATTAAAATTTACTCTTCTAGAGCATGTGTCTAAGATAATTAACAATGGGTGTAATAGGATTGTTGTATATTGTTAACTAAACATATTCAGTTACATATTAACTTCTTTTTACTGAGCACTGCGCCTCACTATCATATTTTTTGATTCTTTTTTATTTATAGATGTTTTAAATAAAAAACAAATTAAATATGTATGTATGCTTCATAAAAGCATTAAAACATTAGTTTAATTTTAAAAAATGAATTTTATGGGATAGAGTTCTAAGAACATATAACATATACACTAAAAACGCACTACTACATCTTTATTCTGGAACTTGATAGTACTGCAATAAACTTGATAATAAGCTTGATGATAAAAACATGGACAAAGTCGAGAAAGTGGATTTCAAAAATTATTTCTTAGATAATTATCTCAAAAATTAACTCTTAGAAAGTTGGCGGAAGTGATGGACATGTTACTTATAACCGTTTATAACATTGTGACTGTTATTTTAAAATCTTGATTTCTATACTAATAGAAAAGAAACGTTAAAATCAAGTAATTGTTTAACAATTATATTTTTTTAAGTTCTATTCGTACTCTATAAATATTTGAATTCTGATCAAAATAGGAATAGTAATATTTTGTATAGTACTTGTAAATTGGTAATAAAAAAAATAAAAAGTTTGTATATTTATTTTATTTCGATTTTAATTTTGAGGCATTAAATAAGTAAATTGTGTATTCCAGTTGCTTTTTAGACTATAGATATAAAAGTACTTATTGACGTAAGGAATATTATTCCAATTAATTTTTGGGGTTAATAAAATCCTGCTTGTATGACAAGTTGATTACATTGTCATACATGCAAAAGTTTAATATTATTTTGAAGCTTATAACTAAGTTTGTATATATATTAAATTAATACCTAGAAAAAAATGTTATTTTCCTTTGCGAAAAATATTGAAAAAAAGATTTTAAGTGATGACATAAAAGAATATTTTAATAATTATATCAATAGAACATTTCATAACATTATTTCAGTCTAATTTTTAAATGATCAAAAATTGTAATAAATTTTTTCTACTCTAAAAAAGAAAATCATATTCTATTTCATTCACTCCGAAAGGGCCTTAACTAGCAATAGAGAAGGAATATTTAATTTTAATAATTATAGAATTTTTATTAATATTAGAAAAATGTTTATTGCTTTCAGTTATAATATACATAACAAAAAATTTAAAATGTGTTGGTAAATATGTATATTCTTAATATATCTTATTCTTTCCTTCTTGTCTATTTATGACAGAAAGAATAATTATTGTTAAATTCTTTTAACACATTTATTCCAACAAGTCCTTTAATTTCATAATAATGATGTTGGATGTAGCTCTTATAGCAAATATATGACTAGTAATAAATAACTTATATTTTGTAGCTTCTGCTTTTTTATACGACAATGATTACCTCTGTTATGGTCATTATCTGCTCAATACTCATGACAGATTTTTTAAAATAATTTTAATCCTTGGATATATTTTCTATTTTCTTAAAGTCAAATTAATCTATATATTAATGCATTGCTCTAAAAAATTTTATCAGATCCTTATTTTTTTTTACACTTAAAACTCATCGCCAAATGAGGATTTCTCCTTTGAAGAATATAATGGATTCTAAAAGGTTTGTTGAGAAAAGTGCATCGAATTTGTAGAAGATTATGTCAAAATGAACCACTTTTTTTCCATTGGTTTATTTATTAAATCTTTCTAAATAGAAATTGACAATAATTGAGCAAATCTTAAAAAACTAACATATATGCTATTCAGCTAGAGTATTTAAGTTTATCAATGATTTTCTTTTGAAGCGGTTTAGTGGAGTTGCAGCAGATCAATGCCAAGCTTGAGGTTTTGGATGGGACTTGAGTGTCTCTAGGAAATCAGGTGCATATTGGTGAATTACTTCTTCAACGGCTGGTAGATTTAGATCTTTGTGAAGGTTTTTGTTTTTGACGTACTACAGAGTGCACGTAGCTTGTTGGAGAATTTTATTTTGTACTCTCTGAATTTTTTCTATAAATGTATACCACAGGTTATATACCTATGCAGTACTATACCATTGATCTGAATTGATTTGGCAATTAAGAATTTATTACTGAGAATTAGTTACTGAGTTTGTGATTTAGTAGCCAATATAATTCTTTAAGTTTAAGATTTGATTGATATCTTTTGGCTACAATATGCCTCGTCCACGTGAGCTTTCTATCAAGATGTATTTCCAGATATTTCACAGACTGTGATTAAGATATCGACATCATCACATCACATTATAAACGAATAATTATGTATTTAAAAATGTTTCCTCCTTTTTTCGGATGAAATCCTTTTCGACTATAAAATCAAGAAAGATAAATAACATTTTAACATTCATCTTATCTAGTGGAAATTAAAGAAACCTTGATCATTTTGTAACTGAAAACGAATCTTGGATATATGCTTATGTCACACAAGCATAATATTTATTATTCTATATCAATCTCCTAATGAATATACCCACTGGACTTACAACATTTTAAAAGTAAGATATGAAATCACTCGAAACAATAATAATTGATTTAGTAATATACTGAGAATACTTATTCTTCAAGAAGTGTATACTAATCTGAAATTGAATGTAAACTAATGTGAAGTGAAATCATCATCATTTTGGTATCACAGTCCAGGATGGACCATTGCCTCCTCCACAATACGCCTCCATTCTTCTCTGCATTTCGCTTTTTTTCTGTGTTGTGTTATTCTCATGTGAAGTGAAATATTAATGAATAAAGGAAAGAATTAAAATTTGTGTCCAATAAGTCTATAAATTTATGCACAGCTCTAAAAAATTTTATCAGGACCCTAACAGTGATTTCGTAAAATTCATTTTAATATTCAAAACTCTATTAAAACATCTATAATTTATCGGTTTTTCTGTGGTTTCTCTCTGCACTTTTTATGTAACTAAAGTACTTCATAATTGCAATTGTAATTACTGTA